CCTCTTTGAGTGGTCATAGTGAGCAGAGGAGATTCCTGGTGATTCCTTCTGCTCTCCTCTCAACCCATTTCATACTTCTCCCTATTCGTCTGTCTCATAGAATGTTACTCTGCATGGTTTCAGAAAATGTTTGAGGCTATCTGCTTGTTTCTTCATTGCCCTAAATGTTCTCTGCATGCAGTGGCGTTCTTCTAGTCTGTCTCCTACTTAAATGGCCCTTCAGCTGAACCATGTGTCCTTGGACTTGTACATCTCTGCTTCTTTCTTGGTTTCTGTGAGGATGCACTCTGCTCTCTAAGTCTCTCTTCAAGGTTTGTGGCATCTCAGCTGCTACTCTTCTTTCTTCTGGGACTATGTCAGTCTCCCTGCTTGTTTCTTTCCTTCTCCAAGGCTATTATCTGTTGCTCTTTTAGCCTCTGTCCTTTCTTAGCAGCTGCAGGCATAAACTGCTAGTGGTCTTTCAGAATCTCTGCTACTTTCATGTTATTGTCAAGATATTTGTTGTGTTCATGATAGTTGTTTTAGGTTTTCTGGGTTTTTTTTGATTTGTTGAGATCCTTTGAGTCTTTCACAGATTTTGGCTCATTTTCCCTTCTTTGATACTACTCCTCAGAGCACTTTCAAACTTTCTACTTTTTTTTTTTTGTCTTGTCTGAGGCCACCCCTCATACTACTGGGTACTCTGGATACTCTGGAGTTCCTTTAATATATCTGATACTTTCTTGTTACCAGTGAGCGTCTTCAATATTCTCTAGGGTGTCCTGTGCCTTGTGTGTTTCTTTTTTTGACCTTTTTGACCCTGCTACATTTTGTTTCCTTGGGCATTTACAGGCTTTCTTCCCTTCCTTCAAGTTACTTTATGTTCTGAATCTCTTTCAGACTCTCTGTTGCTCTGCTGGCATCTGCTTGGCTGTACTGTTTTGTCTGGAGATCTTTCAGACCATCTTCCACCTTCCTGGAATTTGGAGGGCTATTTTGTGATCTTTCTCTGTTTCAGTGTTTAATCAATTTTCACAGTTTCTCTGAGACTTCTCAGTTTACTCTGGATGTTTTTCAAACCCTCTGCTACTTTGTCTTCTCTTGAACTACTGCGTAATCTCTAGGACACTTGCAACTTTCTTCTATTACCAGGCTCTCAAAACCCACTTTACTGTTATTTGGACATCTTTCATGCCTATTTCTGTTTTATTAGAACATTGTTTTGAAGGAGGATGACAGAGGATGCGAGGGGGCGCTATCTTTTCAGAAATGCAACAGCTTCAAGAGCTTTGGACTTCAACTGTACTGGAGTTGATCTCTGCAAGTCACCTTTTGATTTTGGTGGTATTTAGGGTTGGGAGAGAAATGAGCTCAGAGAGGCACCTTTTAAAAAATCCTTTATTTTTATATCATCCTAGTAAAAAATCTTTTACATAAAGGCGAAAGTAGGTATTGCATAGAAGAAACACTGGTGCAAACATCACCTGGTGGGAATGGCATTTTTGTCTCTTAGTGTCTGCTATCTACTGCACAACAGATGGCTAGCCCATAGGCAAACACCTCCAGGTTTCCCCGTGACAGCTACAGGATGAAGGTACTCGACTCTATGGAAAGAGGTTACATGAGAATTATGTGTACCCTATTTGATGCTGCTCCCAAGAACCATGCTGGGAAAGCACCCTTTTCCTCCTTGCCTTTTCTATGCCTGACCAATGCTTTGCCCCCAAAAGACCATAAAGATCAGGTTGCCTTCCCTCTCCTTGCACCCTTCCTGTTTGTGAGTCTGTATTTCATGCATACAAATGGGGGGTGGGAGATGGACACAGGATAGGAAAATTGGCCTAACCTGACCACAGTCCAGGAACTTAATGTTTGACATATACAAGGCATATTCTGTCATCCTGGAGATATTTATGCCATTGTTTTTATCATCTCACATGCTACCTAGCTATGAGTACTTCTTTTGAGATCCCTCCATCTGACTTTCCTATAACTAAGAGCCTTGGTACCACCAGGAGGGAACAGAATTCACTGCTATCACTTTAACAGCTTTCATGTAGAGGTTCTTCAAGCAGTTCTCCTATTACACCTCTGCTTAAGTTCTGATGCAGCCTCCAAGCATGAAGCACAGTGAGACAGCAGGTATGCTAGAGTCTGAAGGAACAGTCAAAGAACAGCACTTTCACACATTTGAACTGTGCTTTCATGAATTAAAGAGATATAGAGAGGTATGCATTTATACAAATAGATATTTGTGTATATTAAAGATGCTTTTGCTCAGTATAAGTTTTTATTTAAAAACATGCTAAAAACTTAAATAATCAGAGTGACATTTTGGAGAAATCACACAGACAGAGAGCCACCAGCGTAAGCACAAAACGTCCATACATACATGAGGCAAAACTCCCTTTGACCAGTTAACAGGACAGTTAGCGCCTTCTCTGACAAATTGACTGACGCAGCCTCATGCTTTCCAGGGCTGTTTTTTGTTGCCTTTTTTGCTCCTTTCAGGATTCCTGTCATCACTTCCCACATCACACAGTCAGCTAGAGACACAAATCAGCCCTGCTTTTGACTCCCTTCCTGTAGGTGGCTTCACAGAGATGAATACATGAAGCTTGTGTAACTATCTCAATACTGTGCTTAAAATGTCAAAAGTAGTCATAAAAAAAGATTTTCAGGATCTGTGCTGCTAGATCGTGAAATGGAATGAAGCATTCTAGAAAAATAAGTTTTGATGGAAGGCAAAGTAGCTCAGTTTGCAACTACACATTTCATCTCTGAGTTATTCAGAAACATCTTTCATTTCTTTACTACTTTCACTAATATATTTAACCATTTTTTTTGTACAAAAACTGTCTGCAGATTAAAATTTAAGATGCTGTAGGTACCACTGTGTGACCCAAAAGGATATAGATAATGCTCCTGCTTAGCCCCACACCCTGTTCTTTTTGAATGCGAGAAAAAGCTAGAGAAAGTGAAGCACCTCTGCCCAAAGGGAGAATGCAGTGGAGCCATCAGATGAAAATCATCCTGTCTTTTCTTGCAAAAATGGGAACGCATCTTAGCAACTTTGGATACAGTCTTACATGTAGCAGCAAGTACACTGGGCATCAGAGCCCCTTCTTCAATATGAAACATCAATCTCCAGTGGGGCTCAGATGCTCCTGGTCCCAATTTTTGTTAGAAATGAAAGTAAAACTGGATTCAGTTTCTGTGCTTTCCCTCTGCTTCTTCCCTGACTTTCAAAGGCAATCCAAGTGAAATAGCTGAACCTATTGTTAGCTTCGGTGGTAAACAACAGCCCTGTGAAACTTTAGGCATTGTGCTCATATGGACAAAGGCCAGAATAGTAACCTCCTTCTTCACTGCAAAACCCAAATTCATCTCTGTCTCTCACACATTTGCACCTGTTCCTTGTCACACTTGATTTCACAGAAACTCAGAAAAATGACACATAGGCCACACCAAACACTGTTGCTGACAGATGCATGCAGGACCTACTAGGAGGCTAACAAAGGAACTAAAGGGTCCCAGATATGACGAAGTGGCTCAACAGCTATATTTCAGCCCATAAGGAACAGATAGGCTGAATGATACAATGAAATTTATGTCTTTCAAGAGTTTAAAGAATAGCTATTCAGACTGGACATTAAAAAAAAATTTGTTTACCAGAGGAGTAGTTTGACATGGCATGGCTTTGAAAGGCACAAAATCTCCATTCTCAACTGTTGTTTCTGAAACTCAGCTCAGTAATGTCACAGTAAACCCCATCTCACATAGGTGACATTGGATGAGGTAACCTGTGAAGGTCACTTCTGACTGCTGCTAATACAAAAAACAGTGTTTCCTTCAGAGCTGAGTCAAGCCCTGACTGAAGTTAAACCAGAACACCCTCCAATGTCTGAACCTTTTCTTCTTCCTTCACAAACCAGCAAAAAAACTGGGGAAAAAGGGTAAATGGGGGTGCTTGCAATGCAGCAGCATTCAAACTGGAGAAATATAAGTTCAAGTTTTCTGACAGGAATGTTGGTAAAAATATGCATTGCAGTGAACTCTGAACTACCCCATTTGATGAACTTGGCTATCTGTCAGCAAGAACCAATTCTGTATTGAAGCTGTGACAACACACACAGTCTCCAAGTGCTGTTTTGGAAATGGCCCCTTTCCTGCATCATCCGGTCACTTTTCATCAAACCACCTTTTCCAGCTCAGGGAGACAGCTGTCATAGGAGGAAACTCCTTCAATGAAGCGCATGGCATGACAATGTTGCCATCAAATTGCCATCCCCTTCCTTCATATCCAGCAGCATGCCATGCCTTGGACAAACTTTCTGAAACAGACAATACAATCTGTGAAGTGTGCTGCCAACTGGACAGTAAGTCAGACTGCAATCTCTCTCCTTCGTGCTAGGGAGCAGTAACCTGCTTAGTTAGTACTTCTAGCTTTCAAAATAGCATGACATCAAAGCCACCAGACACTGCTTTGGGTGAGTAAAGGCTTTAGATCTTTGCCTTACAGGTGTAGGAAGCATACCATCTGGTCCAATGGGAAGGCATTGTATTCCATCTGAGGAAAGAGCCTCAGATTTGAAAGGAACCACCTTTGTTACAGTAAGGACATCAAAGCCCTGATAAAGGTAGACAATGCCTCACCATGGACTTGAGAAAACTTATGTCTTTATTTGCCTACATCAGCTGTCAACTTTGAAAAGCATGTCCTCTGGAGATCGCACAGTGGTTCCCAAATTAACATACAATAAATGTGTAAAACCAAAACGAGTTAAGAAGTTATAAGTCAGGCAACTAAATTCTAAGCTATATCCATCATAATAATCATTGTAATTATCATAATAAAAAAGTATACACCATAAGGTACAAGAAGCTGCAAAGCAAAGCAGCTCCAATTCCTAGGACTCTCGAGTGGCTTTTCCGAGTCTTCCAGTAAATTGGACATGAGGGTTGAAAACTTAGTGGAAGACTTTGAAGAATTCTCCCTTGAAGTTGAACACACATCATTTTTGCACAAATAGCATGAATTAGTAGAGCAAAACATTTTCTTAAGTTAAGAAACATTCTTATAGCAGATCTAGGACTTCATCTAGAAAATCCATTTGTTTGGGGAGTTTCCCCTCTCTTTGGCAAATAAATGGCAAATGTGAAACAGACAAAAAATGAGTCAAATAACAAGTTGTGATGATAATAACTGGAGAAGTAACAACAAAGTAGATCAGTCAATGGGACAGATTCCCTCAGCAGGGCTAGGCTTGATGCTCTTTGAGGTCATTCTTATGATGAGACATGAGTTCATTATTATGATGAGACAGAGGGTTGATGTGATAATGTTTCAGAAGCTTCAGGCATCATATTTTTTGCCAGTCCTGTGAATCTGCTGGAAGAGTGTCATGGAGAAGGCCATGCCGAGAATCTGAAAGAAAACAAACAATACAGGCTTCAGTACAGAGAGGCTGCCAAAACTGCACTGCTGACCCGTGTTGACAGTTCAACTGTCATTCTACACTGGCCATATTTCTGAAGCTTCAAAACTGATCGGTAAACTTGAAAGCATGTTTTTCAGGCACACAGTGATGTCCAGAGATGCATCTGTTAGAGCACAGATGGAGGCAAAAAGTTCTTAGGGCTCTATGTCATATGTGCAACAATATTTCAGAATCAATATGTATGAGTCACTCTTCGTTTTTACCTAACAACTTGTGCTGGTTTAGACAGATAACTGTAACTGAAAATAACAAATTCAGGTATTTCCCCCCCAGAATAAAGCAGTGATACAGCAACCTCTAAACCTTAACAAATTATGATAATACTTATGCATTTTTTTTTAAAACATGTTAACCTACTCAGTTCAGTAGCTATGATTTGACTCATTTTGGTAATTTCTAGAACTTGCTTCCAAAATTTAAAAAAAAAAAAAAAACAGTTCCCTAAGGGACAGCATAACAAATAGCTAAACGTGGGAACTCTGAAATAATGCTCTGAAGTCAAAATGCAAATAAGCAAAACCCAACTGTAGTATGTCTCCTTTGCATAACTGAACTGCTAACCTGCTTTCTTTCTGAGTAGATGGCTTTACCTGAACTCATAAAACAAATCTGACATTTTTGGAAATCATGATCAAACTCTAAGCAGTTGAGCACCACTTTTCAAACAGCAGAATAAAGAATGCTAATGGCAAATCAGAGCCATGTTAACAAACATCATACTAGTATTACCTGCAGTATGAGGATGCACATCCCAATCGAACCAAGGACATGCTTATTCTCATCAAACCAGGTCATAACTCTCTCATAACATCCCTGAAATGATGAAAGATTAAAATTAAAATGCCAAGGTCTCATTTTATTTCATGTATATACCCTTTGTTTTCTCCCTCCACACCCTTCCCTAAGCCTTGACCTGAGCAAAGTGAGGCTTACCGTTTTCCACACTAATTCGGTGGAGTTCCTTCCACAGTCTTGGGAGTTTTCTGTACAACATCGGTCTGGGACAGTGTTTTCTCCTAGCACTGCGTACCAATCCGTAAAGTCATTCACACCACAGCATTTCATCTATGGCAAAAGTAAAGGATTAATAAATTAACTAGCACAATTGGTGAATCATGCACCACAAATTTCACTTCCACTAAATCACTGTGTATTTCCAAGAGGGCTGCCACAACACTTTTGTATTTTTAAAGTGCTTTGTGCTCAGTGATCACCAAAAGCAAATACTTAACAAAATAATAAAAAAAACCAAAGAAAACAAACAGTCCCATGCCCAAGGTATGTTAGACTTCTTGTCACAGAGACATGACTCCAAATGCCACAACATAAGGCAATCTGCCCACAACTGCTCAACAGCAAAAGCCTACCTGCCAAAGCTGCAGTTCCACCTATGCAGGTTTTGTCGCTTCTCCTCTGTTTCAGATCATCTCTGTGCCTGTGTGACATGCACAGAGAATCTCAGAAAGAGGTAAGCATCTTTACTCTGACAGGTGAAAGTGCCTGGGTTTCACAGTACTCCCTGGCTGTTCAAGAGTGCCAAATCAGAAACCAAAGCATGCATTAGCCATCTTTTAGTCTTGGCATGGATGCCACAGTTAACAGACCGCAGAAGCCTTTATGGACAAATTGCTCCTTTTTTTTTCTACTGAGAAAACATGTTACCTCTGCTTGAATGATATTCCATGCATTTTTCAGTCCAACATTATTTTCTGAATTGTATAGCTTCATACCTTCCTTCAAATCCTTCTTTGCACTTTCACTGACCTGCATCATGTAAAAAATACAGAAAGTCAAGGCACTGCAGTTTAGAGGAAAGGACCAAATGGTACAGACTTGCATATAGCATGTACCTCTCTTACCTTCTCTCACCACAAAGTTAGCAAGGGTAGAAAAGCTCAGTCATAGCTTCAAGACTCTCACAAGTCAGTGGGACCTTTCAGCATCTGCCAAGACCTAGTCTCTCCCTCACATTGCAAAAATTGGATTAACTCTCATGAGATAGAAGACCAAACAGCTCCCTCACTGTCCTGAGCTGGGCTAAGGTTAATTTTCACAAGAAGCTGGGAGTGGCTACAGTCAAGATAGTTGACCGGAACTAGCCAAGGGGATTTTTGATACCATATGATGTCATGCACAGTATATAACTGGGGGAGCTGGCTGTGGGGAGGAGGGACTGCAGCTTGGAAACAGGCTGAGCATTGCATTCCAGGTGGTGAACAATTGCATTGTGCATCACTCACTTTATACATTCTTTTATTAGTATTTTTGTTATTATTACTTCTTCTCTCCTCCTACTGTCCCATTAAACTGCCCTTATCTCAACCCAAGTGGTTTTACCTTATTTTCTTTTTGATTCTCCTCCCCATCTCACTGAGGAGGGTGGAGCGAGCAAGTGGCCATGTGGTTCTCAGTTTAAGCTGACTGGGCTTACACCACACCACCTTCTACTAAGAGTCCATTATACAGTCATCAGCTGATCCAAACTAACTGAAGAGTGATCAGCAGAAATCTGCTGAGCTTACTTTAACTTTGCTAGAGATAGCTGTTGGCAGTACCACACAGCAGCCTCTCCTGCCTGTAACCTATAGCCTATTTTAGTTTGCTAATATCAGAAAATCAGTGTCTCAGCCTTCCCACCTTAACACAGTTATCCCTGGTAACCGGTTCAGGCAGGCTATAATAAATGGCCAATACAAAATCAATTGAAAGATGGCATTATTACTATTCTTCTTGAGGGGACAAGCTTGTAGGATTTACAATTTTATTGGCATCACAGAGACATGGTAGATGGCTTCTATGACTGGAGTGCTGGAGTGGAAGGACACAAGTTTTTTAGGAAGGACAGAGAAGGGAGACAAGGAGAGGGCATCACCCTCTATGTCAATGACCAGATGGAGCACATGAAGCTCCATCTGGCGATGGATGAGGATCTGACCAAGAGCTTATGGCTCATGATTAAAGGGAGGAACCGAGGACATTGTAGTGGGGGAGCTGCTACAGGCAGCTGGGGACTTCAACCACCCTGATAATCTGCTGGAGGTGTGACACAGCAGGGCATAAGAAGTCCAGGGGGTTCCTGGAGTGCATTGATGAGAATTGCCTTGTCCAAGTGATAAAGAAGCCAATGGGGAGCAGTGCTATGCTGGACCTTGTGAAGAGCAAGGAGAACCCACATACCACCATCAAACACAAGCAAACTGAACCTTTTTTTTCTAGCACAGATAATTAATCTAGACAGCATATTTGCTTACCTTGTCCATATAAACAAAGAACAAAATGAGTAGTATCAGCTCTGCCAGAAGAATTATCAGCAAAACGATGAAAAACTAGAACAAAGAAAAATAGACAGTGTATACACACTTGTCAACTAGAGAGCAAACCTGAGGCTGCTAGAAACTCTGAAGACTATAGGTCTTGTCCTCTAAACTGTACTGCCAGAAACATGCAAGTTCAATTTCAAACTATTCAGACGTATTGAGACTATATTGCCGCTAAAACTCCTGTAGGTCTCACCATCAGTGAGAAAGCTCACTGTCTAGCATTCTCTAAATTGTAGGTTTTGCCCTACGACCAGTTTGCTGGTTTCAGCCACGCTATTCAGTCTTGCTATTTTTCACTGCTGTCACAGCATGCAGCCCCGGTAGTGCCTTTCCTTCATGTGGACTACAGAAGAGATGCTCAACCCATTACCACAAAGATCAATTTGATGTACCTCAGCAGTGATTCCCTAGCAGGTGGGCTTTCACCACATCTGACTGCCTGTTGGAATAGTCATTATACTACTCAGCACTTCTATTCTCAACTCTCCATAGCTGAAATCTCTCTCTACAAGGGCACCCCAAGTGTGAGCTCCAGTAGTTTCCCACTACTTTTCATGCCCACTAGTTCCTTTTATATACTAGTGGACTGCCACATAGCCATGGCATCACCCACGCATACACTAGGGGAGATGTAGTAGGCAGTGCAGCAAGCTCTCCAATCACAAACTCTTGATAGTCATGATAGTATAAGAAGACTTGCAGGGCGTTGTAAGAATATAAAGTCTTTAAAAAAAACAACAAAAATTCATTTGGCATTATAGTTTCTGTGGATGAGAGACAGGGAACTGCTTGAGAGAGTCCAGTGCAGAGCCACGGAGATGATGAAAGGAGTGGAACATCTCCCTTATGAGGAAAGGCTGAAGGAGCTGGGTCTCTTTAGCTTGGAGAAGAGGAAGCTGAGGAGTGACCTCATTAATGTTTATAAATATGTCAAGGGGGAGTGTCAGGAGGACGGAGTCAGGCTCTTTTCAGTGACGTCCAATGACAGGACAAGGGGCAATGGGTACAAGCTGGAACATAGGAGGTTCCACAAAAGTATTAGAAAAAATGTTGTCACTGTGGAGGTGACAGAGCACTAGGGAGGTTGTGGAGTCTCCTTCTCTGGAGACATTCAAAACCTGTCTGGACACGTTCCTGTGTGACCTACTGTAGGTGATCCTGCTCTGGCAGGGGGGTTGGACTAGATGATCTTTTGAGGTCCCTTCCAACCCCTAACATTCTGTGATTCTGTGATTCTGCGAATGAAATTACTATTCTCTGTGTGTTTTCCTAACTGTACAACATACAAAACCAAGCAGCAGATAGCAGAATAAATGCATATTTGTCCTCCAGTTTAATTCTCTGGTGGTCTAAGGAATGCTGCTCAGCTGTTCTCCAACACCGTGGAGGGGAGACTTCTATGCAAGGAAATCTCACAGGCTCCTTAATGTCACAGCATCTATGATTCATAAACTGTGACTGAATTGGATGCAGCCTGCTTTGAAAGCCCTTCTCTCACCTTCTGCCACAATACCTCTCTTCTTGGGATGGGGAGAAGCGTGATGAAGCTTCCTGTGCTCACACAAGAGGGGTGATTCACAATGTACTTTCTGAGAGGGATTCCCAACCTCTGTGCTTCAGTGTTGGACAACTACTGCCAAGGATCAGATTATTATTATTTCACTGGTAAGGCCTGGCAGACATCTTGATTTCTTAACTATTTGTTTCCACCAAACTCTGACAAAGGCCTTAAAAAAGTAGAAAAGAGCCATGAGAGACTGTGAGAGGCTTCCAAAACCAGCTGTTCTTAAGATTTTTCCAGTCAATCCTTCTAACAGCCATTTCTGGAAGGGAATCTGGAGATTCACTGTACAGTTTGTGTTTAACCATTCAGAGGTAACTGAAGTAATTTGTTTTACTATCTAATACATTCATTTATTGCACAATATTCATGTATTAGATAACATTCATGTACATTCTGACACATTCATGTAATCCTTCTATGATCCTACATTAGGGCACACAGTAATAAGGATACATTTTCTAATACATGAATCATATCATTGTGACCAAAGCTGTGGGATATCATACTGCAAGCGTGCAGAAGACTGAAAACCAAGGGAAATGTTACAGTGACCCACAAGACTATTTTGCACTTGTCATTTAAATAAAATAATAACAAAGCAACAGACACTAGTCTTAGTGAAAAGAAGTATTGATTTCTTACACTCAACAGGAGGCACTTGTTTTCCTTGATAGCACCTAGGCAGCCCAGAAAGCCGGTCACCATGATGATTGTGCCAATGGCAATCACTAGGTTGGCAGCTGAAAGTGATGGAAAGCTAGGAGAAAATGTGGCGAAGTTTCCTTGCGACACTGACAACCAGATGCCCACACCGAGCAGCCCGCAGCCACATAACTGCAAAGAGATAAACAAAAGAAAAGTTTACCATTAAAATAAACTGCACTGTCTCCTTCTCCCTCTGAAATGAAAGAATTTCTCAAGCAAATTCTCAGGTAACTGTTATGCAGTAACTTTCTCACTGGTTTGGCGCTGAAACAAACTGAAACTAAATGTTCTTACCTAGACTTGGTCATGCCCCCTATATTTATAAATTTATTTAAAAGCCATAGGATGGCAGAAGTATTTTTTTTAAGACAGCATATGAAACCAAGGCTACCTGTTGTTCTTCCAACAGCAAAACCCAATGCAATTTTTCTGTAGGAAGATAAACTTTATATGAAAGAACGCTCCATTTTACTTATTTCTGCAGTCACCTTACAATGTCTCAGAGTATCCAGCCCTGTATTTCCTCATCTTAGGGCAGGCAAGGGAGTCCTGGGGATAATTAAGATTAATAGTGTCATTTCAATAAATATTTGTCAGAAGATAACCAGTCCTAATAGCCAAGTTGGTTTTAGTATGAGTTCTCATAGCTTTACTGCTGTTTGCCAGTGTTCAGTGTCACAAAAATCAGATTTCTAGGTTTATTATCTACAGGAAGCTTAACTTCTGCTACTCTCGGTCAGTGAAAGAACCTGAGGGAAATGCAAAGCCGCTAATAAAACATAAAATTAACTTTACTTTGATTCTCACTCCTAACATCTGGTTAAGGAAATAAGGTTTCCCATGCTAAGTGATGGAGCGGGTCTTCAGAACAATGGTCAAGTGTTGCACTACAGAGGGAATAAAAGTTGGCAATCTTTTAGTACTTGCTCAAAAGTTCTACAACTTCCCATCTGATCTGTGATCACTGTGCAGTGAATTCTGAAGCAGGAGTTAGCTGTGCTTTTATTAAATATGTGACCTCTGAACAGTACTATTACAGTTTCCTGTCAAATACAGCCTTTGCCAACGTCAGCGAAATTCACATCACCTTCACTCGGAGGTGGATAAGAGTATGTATCCCTGCTGCCAACTCATGAGGATATTGCTCCGATCTCCTTGCACCACCACATGGGAGAAACAAAACAGTACCTAGTCGTTACTCGCAGTGATATTCCAAGGCTACTGGTGCTCACCTGTGAGCAGTGAGGAACAAGAGGAACAAAAGTTCTTGTCATGGAACATGTTTGCCACACCCAGCCCACTCCATTGTGCTTATATAAATTTACAACTTCTACTCAAAGTGGCAACTCAAGGTCAGAGAACAGTATGTCCACTGAAACAGGGTTCAGTTCTGAATTATGATGCGCACTAATCTGTCATGATGAAGGGCCCCCTTGCACCTAAGCATTAGTTTAGCAATTAGAGAGAAGCCACAACTGTAGAGCTCACAAGCACAGGTATTGGGTAACACAGAGGAAATTTTCAGCATTACTGTTAAGGAGGCTGGGAAGCACCTCTGTTTCCAAAACTCAACACACAGTAACTCCAGAGAGGAAGTTCAGGAGCTTTGCATCTCTGGGTGTGGAAAAATATCACAACACTTGTTTCCTGTAACAGAGCAGGATGCAGCTGCAACGTGAGTGTGTTTAACAGGAAAAAGTCAAACAGCTACTATCCCTGTGAAAAGACTGGTAAAAAAAATACATGTATGCATGTGGCAGGAAAGGGCTACAGGACTTTCATCTCTTCCCACAAATCCATCCTCTTCCATTAATATTCTTGAAGTGATTTCTTGTTGCCTTTTATGGTATGTCATAGAATTATAGAATCATAGAATGG